ACGTTGAAAAAAAAAAAAATTTAAAAAAAAAATAAAAAAAAAAGTAAAATAAAAATAAAAAAGTAAAGTAAAAATTAAAAAAAAGTAAAGTAAAAATAAAACTTGGCCCTTACAGCCAGCATGAGCAAGCTACCTGATACAGCACCAACAACAAGCCTGGTTAGAGGGGCTGCCCCTATCCCTGGGTGCCAATAGCTATTCAACATGAATGGGGAAAGGAGGACAGAGCAGAGGTAAGTTCAGGTTTCCACACTTGTCTGCCTGTTGTATTGAGGTGGAGAGGCTAAGAACACATGACCATCATCTCAGATCTTACTGGTCTAGATGCAGCCTGAAAGGAAGGTCTACTAAAGAGGCAGGTCATTGATCCTTGCTGTTCAATTACTCAATGTATAGACTGTCCTCGGCCTGATGGGCAGAAAGTCCTCCTCAAGTCTGGGGCAAGCCAGCTTCATTTTCAGATGCTGTTATTGCTATAGTTGAAAATATACATAGCTACATCCAAAAAACGTATCCCCTGGTTCTTCTATTCCTTCCATAATCATTCCTTTTTCAAAACCTGAAATTGAGGCAAACCCCTTCATAAAAATCACTTCTTTGGCTCATAAAACCCACGTTCTCCAGCAAAAGTTCTTGTAAAGGTCCCCAAGTCATTATAATTTGAAAACTGAACAAATCTTCATCACATAAAAATCTCTCTTTTACATCAACCCTGCAAACCCCTAACTTTGGGTAGTAGTGATAGCTAGATCATTTTTTTTTTTAATGTTTATTTATTTTTGAGAGAAAGGGAGAGACAGAGTGTGAGGAGGGGAGGGACAGAGACAGAGGGAGACACAGAATCTGAAGCAGGCTCCAGGTTCCGAGCTGTCAGCACAGAGCCTGATGTGGAGCTTAAACTCACAAATGGTGAGATCATGACCTGAGCTGAAGTAGGACGCTCAACCAACTGAGCCACCCAGGCACCCCAATAGCTAGATCATTTTTAAGTCTATTTTCCCAAATTACCAGTGTTCTCTATACAGCATCAAATGGTACAATTTATTTCTTAAATATCCACTAAAGTTAATAACAGAGGTTGCAGGGAGAAAAGGAGAGTTACTGCTTAATGGTTATAGACTTTCTGTTTGGGGTAATAAAACATTTTGGAAATAGGGTGATGGTTGTATAACATTGTGAACGTAATTAATGCCACTGAATCACACACTTACAAACGGTCAGAATGGCCAATTTTATGTTATGTCTATTTTACCATAATTTTTCAAATACCCAAAAATGTTAATAATAATATACTTGGCAGAACATTGAACCAATGAACATTGAACATTCGACTTCAAAATTGCAATAGATTTTAGTGGTGGTCATTAAATAAGCACTAATATGCAAAAATACATTGAAAACCAGAAGAGTTTTCTTTTGGTTTCTAATTTCATAGTAGTATGCTTTACTTCTTAGAGAGAAAGGTAATCCTAGTTTATATGGCTTACACCCAGAATCCAAGAGCATAACAAATCGCATACCTGGCTAGATCTCAACTTCTTATTTTCCAGGTGGCTCTTCTCCTGTAACAGGGCCTCCTTCTTACAAACTATGGCCTCTCGTTTTTTTAAATCTTCTTCCAGCTCCTCCAATTCTTGGCGTTGGTTCAGGACTTTTTCTACTTCTTCATCTAACCATTTCTTTTGCTCATCCAATTTCTACATTAAAATTTCAAAGAAACGTCATTACATCATTTGTTTTTCTTCTGCCATAGGATGTATATTGTAATAATGTAATTTCAGATTGGCTAAAATACCTTAAATGAACATTTAAAAACTATTGGTGAGAATAATAAAACAGTGTTCCGGGCTAAAATCATTAGGAAGTGGTTCCAGTTAACATCTTGCTGTGTTTTATAGGGAATTAAGATGTATTCTCCGAACATGTTTGAGTCTGGGATTTTCTAAGTTGACAAAAGGACTGACAATTTTTCCATACATATATTAAGAGGTAATTCTGAGAACAGGCTGGGGGATCTTTTCCTCTGTCGTAGAGGAACATACCTCCATCACAGCACTTACACTGTTTGGTGCTCTACAGTCTGTCTCCCCAACTGAGTTCCTTGACTGACTGGACAGACTGTCTTTTCTAACTCTCTATCCCCAATGCCTGCTATACTTCCTGGCCCATGACCGGCCTTCAATAAAATGTTATATGAATGACTGAATGAATGCCTGATCCAACTAACTAATCAACAAAGTAAATGAATACACGGTGGAAGACACATATAATAGGGCATGGAAATCCACTCTGCACTGTAGCCTGTCAACATCAATTATAAGATAAAATGAGCTGGAAGGAGTTCCAAAACAAGTATCTTAGTATTCTCTCAAATCGAGGATACCCAGAAAGAAAAAAATATGAATGGAATATGACTAAGATCAGTTCTACCAAGCGCCCATCCACACTGCGGACATGGTAATGAAGCAATGCCATATAAACAACAAATAACAGGGAAACAAATCATTCAGTACTATTTTCCAGTTCTTCTCCAATTGATGAAAATGGTGCTTAGAAATCTATATTTAAAAAATGAGATGGGGGGGCGCCTGGGTGGCGCAGTCGGTTAAGTGTCCGACTTCAGCCAGGTCACGATCTCGCAGTCCGTGAGTTCGAGCCCCGCATCGGGCTCTGGGCTGATGTCTCGGAGCCTGGAGCCTGTTTCCGATTCTGTGTCTCCCTCTCTCTCTGCCCCTCCCCCGTTCATGCTCTGTCTCTCTCTGTCCCAAAAATAAATAAAAAACGTTGAAAAAAAAATTAAAAAAAAAAAAAATGAGATGGGGTGTCCGGGTGGCTCAGTCCGTTAAGCGTCTAACTCTTGATCTTTGACCCAGGTCATGATCTCATGGTTTGTGAGACTGAGCCCTGTCGGGCTGTGTGCTGACAACACAGAGCCTGCTTGGGGTTCTCTCTCTCCCTCTCTGCCCCTCCCCCGCTTGTGCTCTCTCTCAAAATAAATAAACGTTAAAAAAAAACCAAAACAATGAGATAGTGAATATGCATGAGGAAAAGAGAGTGAAGTGGCCAAAGCAAAGTAGATCCAGTGCTATGCAGTCCTCCATCCAGACCTAGATAGCATGGCCCTACAAGCACTATCGCATCCAAATAATATTGAAGTAATATTGAAGCCTATAACAGTAGCTCTACAGTTTATAAGAAACAGGAAGGATATCCCAGAACTATAGAGACACTTTTGTTTCGTTATATCCAGCTCTACCTTAGAAACTCCATACAGGAGAACCTATGAAGTCTAGCAATTAGCTAAAACATATTCTATGAACATTCCTTGACTTGGAGTGGGGTTTGAAAAATTAATAACAGATCTTTTGTAAGGTCCATTCCAATAGGAGGAAAACCTGAAAAATTATGATTGTTGCTAATAAATGCTGTGTACAGCTAACTCCCAGGTACCATGTCAGCAAAAAGGGAGTGAGGGACTGGAATGGCTCTAAGAAATGTCAGTGCTGGCCTCACAGAGTAAGAAATATTTTGGCAGTCCTTTGAAGAATGGGTAGGAGTGCACATAATACAGGTTTTTTAGGGAAATAATAAATGAGTGGATTTTTCTGCATTTGATATAATAAAGGTTACGATTTATACAATTGACTGTACCTTAGTAAGTTTTCTGAAAACTTATTGATTTGTCTTTTCTCCTTTAATAGCAAAGGTTCCTATCACACAGTTCCTATCACACAATTCAAAAAATACTTCCTTATAAAGGAGCTTCATAACAAATCAATATCCTATTCTAAGCTCTTTGGATACCCATATTGATTACTTTATAATCTTGTTCTTATTTAGGGTCAAATTCTGGAAAGTGGGTTTTTCTTTGCAGTGTTTAAAAACATGAAGTTTTGGGAGAATAGGAGAAGATGGCGGCGTAGGAGGACGCTGGGCTCACCGCGCGTCCTGCTGATCACTTAGATTCCACCTACACCTGCCTAAATAACCCAGAAAACCACCAGAGGATTAGCAGAACGGAGTCGCCGGAGCCAAGCGCAGACGAGAGGCCCACGGAAGAGGGTAGGAAGGGCGGCGAGGCGGTGCGCGCTCCACGGACTGGCGGGAGGGAG